TTAGAACCATCGCGCGCGCTTCGCGCGCGCGCTCAGGTTCTAGCCCAGGCCGGGGGGGCGCTGGACGATCTTGGACAACGCTATCAAGCACAGGCGCGCGACGGCATCTGAGGATCTTCTGGGGTGTTCCGCATGCTTCGTCAACTGGCTGTTGGAGGCACCTCTTGGGTGCTTCTTGGGGGGGCGTCTGAGGGTCCCTTGGGGGCATCGGTTCTGCAATCTGAAGCCGTCATTGGCCGTCTTGGCTGCGTGGAGGCCCGACTTGAGGCCACCTGCGGCCAGATTGAGGCAATCCGGAAGCCTCCCAGGGGCCTCCTGGAAGCAGTTTTGACGCATCGAGGGTACTCTTGGGCTATTTGAAAGCCTCTTGGACGTCTCCTGGTGGCCTTTTAGGCCCTCGGGGAAGCTTTTGGGGTCCTCGTCGGACCACTTGGGGGCCTCTTGCGGCCTCCTGTGGGCCTTGTGGGGGGACCGCTCTGCTGTTGGGTCGCGTTCCCCTTCTTGGGCCTCTCTTGGGGCTCTTGGGGCCCTCTCGGGCCGTCTTGGGCGCCTCAAGCACCGTTTTGGGGCCCTCGCGGGCCGTCTTGGGGCCCTCTTGGAGGCCTCTTCCTCTATATGGGAGCGGTATTGGAAGCCTCTTGGGCCGTCTTGGAGCATCGGGATGCCAAAAGGCAGAAAAAAAACGTCAAAGCCCAATCGTAAAACAATGTGTTGTGCCTCTCGGGGCCACCTTGGGAGATCTCTTGGAACCTCGTCGGCCCTCTCGGGAGCTTCTTGGGGGCCTCTTGGATCCGATTGGGGGCCTCTTGGGACTTCCCGAGACCGTCTCCGGATAGAAAGCTCGGATTCTCGGTTCGTGTTTCCCTTCTTGGGCCAAGAGAGGCCGTCTTGGGGCCCTCTCGGGCCGTCTTGGGCGCCTCAGGCACCGCCTTGGGGCCCTCGTGGGCCGCCCAGGGCCCTCTTGGAAGCCTCTTCGGCTATCTTGGAGCTGTCTGGGAGGCCTCTTCCTCCTCCTCGTCCCCCTTCCTCCTCCTCCCACTCCAGCTCTCTCTCCTCCTGATCTTCCTCCTCCTCCTGCAGCGTGGTCCGGAAGGCTCCCGCCGGAACATGCTGTGCACAAGTGCTGTCACTGTTGCCGCCACCGTGCCCTGGGTGGTGCGTCAGAGGCCTCATGGGTGTTGCTTTGGATCTCGTGGTTGGCCTGTCGGGGACGTCGTGAAGGCAGTTTCGCAGCTTCTCGGTAGCCGTTTTGGGACCGTTGTGGGGCCTCCTCGGGGCTGTTTTGTGGCCTCTGTAGGCCTCGTTTGGGCCTCCTGGGTGCCGGTTGGGGGCATCCTGGGGCCTCTTGTGGGCTCCTTGGGGCCTCCTGGGGCACTCTTCAAGCCGGAGGGTCGAATTTTGGAGTCGTGGTCCCCCTCTTGGGCGCATCTTGGACCCGTCTTGGGGCTCTGTTGGCCTGTCTTGGGCGACTCTGGGGCCGTCTTGGGGCCCTCTTGGGCCGTCTTGGGGCGCTCTTGGGGGCCTATTGAGCCATCTTGGAACGTCGGACAGCCGAAAAGGCTGGAAGGCCAAAATCGGTCGAAAACCTTCGTAAAATTGACGATTTCGGCCTCTGGAAGCGCTCTGGAGAAGCGTCTTGAAGCGTCGTGGAGTGCCTTGGGGCGCCTCTCGGGCCGTCTTGGGCCTATCTTGGGCGTCCTGGAGCGGTCTTTCGGCGACTCGGGGCCCGCTTGGGCCGTCTTGGGAGCCTCTGGAGGCCCTCCTGGCCCATGGGGGGTCGGAGGCGGCGGCCTCCGAGGCCCAGGACGCCGAAAATGAGCCCCGGTCCCCCCATGGGGGGTGGGGGCACCTGTCCCGGGGCCGCTGGCCTCGCCCCCAGGGATATATATATATATATATATATATATATATATATATATATATAGAGAGAGAGATATATATATATATATATATATATATACATATAAAAAAATAAATATATATATATATATATATAGCGAAACATATACATAGACACATACAATGGAACAAATGCATATACATATACAATTATAGTTTATACATACACATACACATACAGAAACATAAACATACACATGAACCAGCCTTAACATGAACATACACATACCGATGCACAAACATATACATAAACAAGCACATACACATGTACAAAAACATATACATATACGTATACGTAAACAGATACACATACATAAAATCTACATGAATGCACATACATATACATGTAGATATATATGTACATCTGAATATACATAGACATATACGTGAATGTATACAACTCCATATACATAATTAAATGCATTTACGTATGCCGATACATACCCATCTACAAATACACCTACCCATGCATACACCTACACATATGTACAAAACATACACCTATACATATACGTAAACACATACATGTACATATACATATACACAAACATCTACATATACATATACACAAACACATACACATACACATATATACATATAGTTACACATACTTACACTAATATAACAATACATATACACATACTGATATATATATATGTCTATATCGCTCGTAACCAGAACGCTCCACCATCCCTACCTCTCGAAAGCGGCAGCGGCAGCAGAGCAAGAGATACGGGTCGCTCCTGGAGACCAGGCTGTACGACCTCGAGAGAGAGACAAGAGCCGCAAGAGGACGGCGTGTCAGTCCGAGGACCGACCGCGGCGCAGCAAGCTACACAGCAACCCGTCGCCTCCCTTTGCGGCTCCTCAGCGGACAGTGTCAGAAGAGGGCCCTGGACCTATCGACAAGTGCCTGTGCAGCCCTACGTGCAGAGTAGAAGTGCTGCTCGTGCTGCTCTGTAGTGCAATCTATGGGGAGCGGCGACATACTAATATATAGATATATATATATACAACTACATATACATGAACAGATACACCGATATATACGTACACATACGTACATATACATAAACATATACATGTACATTAACCTAAACATATGCATACACATATGCGTGCACACAAACGTATACATACACATATACATTTACACCTACATTGACACACAAATACATATAGACATACCTATACACATACACATACATATCCACACCCAAATACCAATATGTATATATATATGCATATACATATACACATACCTACGCATGCATACATACGCATACGCATGTACATATGCAAATACACATGCCTATACATATGCGTATGGATGTAAGTATACACATACAGATACAGCTGCATATGTATACACATATACATATACATATGCATTGCATGTACATATACACATACACATACTACATAGATAAACATGCACATGCACATATAGAAATACAGATACGTATACCTGTACATATACATACACATACACATATACATGTACATATACATATGCATATACATGTACAGTCACATCTACACATACATACACATATGTCTATAACAATGCAACTACATAAACGCATACAACTACACATACATATAGATATACATATACATATGCATAAACATAAACATAAACACGTACATATACAAATACACAAACACATGGAAAACATATATACAAATACACACAAATACAAAGACATAAACATTTACGTATACGCATACATATGCATAACATGTACATAATATATACAAAAACACATACATATACCTATACACATACCTATACATATAAACATACATACACATATACAAATACGTACACATAAAAATACCCATATGTACAAACATACACATACATACGCATATGTATAGACACATACACTTGTTGAAACCTATACATATACACATACATACACATACACATATGCATATACATATAAACAAACAGAGGCATGTACAAGTACAAGTACATATGCATATCCATGAAAAAAACAGGCGCTGGTACATATACATGCACATATACACAAACATATACACATACACAGACATATGCATGTACATATACATATACACAAACATATGCATGTACGCATACATATACATGTACGCCTACATCTACATATACATATGCACAAACATAGTTGCATACATATACGCATACAGATACATATATATATATATATATATATACGTATGTATATACGTGTGTACACATGTACACCCATATATCTGTACATATCCATACACACATGCATACACATTTACAAATCCAACTGCAACTACACAATGGAAATACACATACATATACCTATACCTATACCTATACGTATACATATGCATATACAAATGTATACACATACGTACATATATATACAGGTACACAGACATACGCATATACGTAGACCTATACAACACATCCAGATACATGCACCTATACATATACATATACCCATACATATACCTACAGATACAGATACAAATACAAATACCTATACATAGACATAGACACATACAAATACACATGCAAATACCTTGATGTATATACACACGTATACTCATACATGTACATATACATAAACATGTACAGACACACTTCACAGGCCGCCTTCTGGAGAGCCAAGCGGGGCGGGAGTCCAGGCATGGGGTGTCCCTTTCGTGCCCAGCCTGCCCGAGGCCCGAGAGCGCGAATCGGAGAAGGAGGGGGCCAGAAGAGCCAAGGCAGGATCGGGACGAAATCGGACTGGGGCACATCGGGGACCCCCGAAATGCCCGCCAGAGGCCAAGGAGAGCTCTCCGAAGAGACCCCAAGAATCATCCCCGAAGACTCTGACCCACGTCGTCGTCGTCGTCGTCGTCGTCGTCGTCGCCGCCGCCGCCGCCGTCGTCGTCGTCGTCGTCACCCCCCTTCACGGATGCGCGGTGAGGAGGCAAGGCCTCCCCTGGACACCGAAACTGAAGCCGAAGTAGGCCCATGGCTGAGGGTTGGCATGGGCCGAAAGACACGGACGCATGGGTGCCCTTGAAAGCTACTCGTCCTTATGATCCTGGAAAAGAGGAAGGAGAGGGCAGGAAGGAAGAAAAGAGTGAGATGCGAGGAGGCGGCTCGAAGCTAGAGAACGTAGTGCGGGCACGTGTCTCGGCTCCCCAAATTTACCATACGTCACCTGCCTCCTCACGCTGACGCGTCGGAGGCGATGGCGAAGCATGCTTCTCCCAGCAAAGCGGTGAACTACTGGTAGACGTCCTGCCCTCCCTGCACTGCCAGCACGTGTCAGCCCCGCTATGGCATCACAACCTGCTGCCTGAAACCGCCATCGCCAACACGAGAATACAGACAAGGGCATCGACATGTGCATTCAAGGCAAGAGCACCCCGAACGGTACCGTGATCCTGCCGCCTAAGCGATCATCCCTCTGCGCCCCTTCCCCCGCTCTTCCAAACCACTCCCCGCGATTTTATTATTCCTCGTCGCCGCAGCTGTAATCCTCCTCATTCCTCTCTGCTCCCCTTCCCTCCTCCTTCGGTTCCCCTTCCTACCTCCTCAGTCCTTACACCGCCCCCCCTAACGTAGCCAATCCCTGACCTAACCTGACCCGGGCCCTGTCGACACTGCGCCAAAGCTAACCTGAACCATCAAAGTTAACGTGCCCAACGGCTCGGTGACACCAGTGTGTCACGCGCGTGCGGCGTAGCAAATGATGCACCAGAATGAGGTGACACAGCAACATGCAATGCAAGCGCTGAAGCGAGAGCAACTTTCGCAATCATGTCTTTTTGTTTCGCAATCATAGATGTCGCCGGCGGTGTGGCGCGAGCAACATTCTCAATCATGGATGTGGCTGGCGCTGAAGCGAGAGCACCTTTCGCAATCGTGGATGTGGCCAGCGCTAAGGCGAGAGTAACTTTTGTAATCGTGGGTGTGACTGGCGCTGAGACGACAGCAACATTTGCAATCATGGATGTGGCTGGCGCTACAGCGAGAGTAATTTTCGCAATCGTGGATGTCGCTGGCGCTGAGGCGAAAACAATTTTCGTAATCGCCGGCGCCAAGGCGAAAGTAACTTCCGTAATCGTGGGTGTGGCCGGCGCGGAAGCGACGGCAACATTGCAATCATGGACATGGCTGGCGCTGGGGCGACAGTGGCCGTCGTAGCCGTGGATGAGGCTGGCGCTGAGGCGAGTGACGTTCGCGATGACGGATGTGGCCGGCACTGAAACGAGAGCAACATTCGCAATCATTGACGTGGCCGGCGAAGATGCGAACGCAAAATTCGCAATCATGGATGCGGCCTGCACTGCGGCGAAAGCAAGATTCCCAACCACGGATGCGGCCTGGGGCTAAGGGCAACGCAAAGCGCATATAAAGGATGCGGCCACTGGTGAAGCGAGAACATTCGTCGTCATCGTGGGCGAGGTGTCCCACTGCACACGCGCACTGGCTCTAGCGCAAACAGCAGCACCACTGAAACGAGCAGCGCCAGAAACAGCAGCACCATGCGCAGCAGCAACAACACCAACGCAAACAACACCAGAAACGATACTCCATATTTCGTAATAAAAGGGAGGGGGTCTCAACCCTCCCAGACGAGAAGTTTTAGACACCCCCCGTCGGAGAACCCTCCAAAACATCGTCCCCAGACCCCCCCAGGCCCTCCAAGATAGCCTGGAAGAGACCCCCCCCGAAATGAGACCCCCCTCCCTTTATTACGAAATCTGGAGTAATGCAAGCCGCACAAGCGACTCCAGCAGCAGCTCTCTGACCAACACGACAGCAAACCACCCCACCACTCCGCACACCGGCACCTGCGAAACCAGCATCTCCAGTATGACGACCACGACGGGGAATGGAGCAGCAGCACCACGCGACACAGCACCAGCGCTACCAGCAGCAACATTGAGACGACAACGACCGCAAACAGCAGCACCAAACGCAGCAGCATCAGCGTCACCAGCAGCGCCACTGTGACGAGCACGACTGGGAGCAACAACGCCACGCGAAGCAACTCAAACGCAAACAGCATTACCAGTGTGACCAGCACGAAGGGAAGCAGCAGCACTACACGCACCAGAACACGCGCAAGGAGGAGCACCGCCGCGACGCGCACGACAGGATCAATACACCACGCGCAGCAATACAAATGCCATCAGCAGTTCCACCAGAACGAGCTCGACGGGAACATGCAGCGCCAGGCGATTCGCACTGGACTGCGCGAGCGCCCCCACTCCCCCGCAGGCCAGGCAAGCGGGGGGTGGGGAGCTCACTCCAGCGCAAAGCGTCATGACCCAAATCGTTTAATTGTGCGCTGGGGACTGGGGCGCCCCAGCGCAGAAATGCGCGATCCGCCCGCGCGAAGTTTTGCGAACCCCACGACGGGAGCAACTGCTGCTCGCCCCAAGCCCAAACGGCGGTCGCCCCCAGGAAACGGGTTGCGCCAGCTGGGGCCTACAGTAGCAGGGCTAGCCAGGAGCGCCAGGGCGAGCGCGAGGACGGGGTGGTGACTCGTCGTGGGCCCGCCGTCAGCGCCCGCCACCTGCCGCCGCCCAGCCTGGACAGCAGCTCCAAAGCCTAGCGCCGGCGCCCTGTCCAGCCAGCGGCATCTCACGAGCAAGCAGCACCAACGCCACCAGCAGTTCCACGAGAACGAGCACAACGGGAACCAGCAGCACCAGGCGATTCGCACTGGACTGTGCGAGCGCCCCCCTCCCCCCACCGGCGGGGCCAACGAGGGGGGAAGCGACCCCCTCGCCCCAGCGCAAAGCGCCGCGGCCAAAACCGTTCGATTTTGCGCTGGGCACCGAGGGCGCCCCAGGCCACAGCCCACAGCCTGTCCCACAAGAGCCAGCGATAGCCCCTCGCACCGCGGTCCACGCGGCCTTGCGGAGATGTGCACGTTGACCCGCGACGCGTCGGTGAGCAACATGAGCGGAACGAGCAGTTCCACTGTGACCAGCCCGACAGGAAGCAGCATCGCCACCAGCAGCAGCAGCAGCAGCACAAGCGCCACCAGCAGCACAACTGTGACTAGCAAAACAAAAGCAGCAGCAATATTGCCACCTGCAGTGCCACTCCACCAAAACCTGTCGGAAGCAGCAACACCACGTGCAGCATCAACGCCGCCAGCAGCAGTAGCGCAAGCAACACCAGCGCCACCAGCAACGGAGCCAACAGCAGCACCACAGTGACGAGGATCGCTAAAAACAGCAGAACGACACGCAAAAGCACCAGCAACCAGCAACACCACCTTGACACGCACACTAGGAACCAGTAATACGACGCACACCAGCTCTGGCGCAACCAGCAGAAATACCGCGACGAGCACTACAGCAGCATCGGCGCCGCCACCAGCAGCGCTGAGAGCAGCAGTGGCAAAAGCGACGCCAGTAGTAGCTCGATGGCCCGCACGGCGGCGAGCAGCACAACCACGCACAGCAGTGCGAGCGACCCGAGCAGCTCCAGCATGACGGACGCGACGAGGAGATGCAACCACACGAGAAGCAGCATCAACGCCGCCTGCAACGCCACTGCAAAGAGCACGACGGCGAGCAGCGGAGCCAAGCGCAGCAGCACGAGCGCGACCATCGGCACCGCTGAGACAAGCACGGCGGGAGGCAGCTGCGCCACGCAAGGCAGAATCAGCACCACCAGCAGTTCCACCAGAACGAGAATGTGGGAACCAGCAGCAGCGCGCGATTCGCGCTGGACTGCGCGAACACCCCGCCCCACCCCACTGGCGAGGCCAGCGAGGGGGGAAGCGCCCCCTCGCCCCAGCGCAAAGCGTCACGGCCAGATCGTTCGATTTTGCGCTGGATGCTGGGGGGCGCCCCAGACAAAGATGCGCAGTCCGTCTGTGCGAAGTTTGACTGGGAGGTGCGAGCCCCGCCCTGGAAGCAACTGCTGATCTGTCCAAACCCGATTGGCGGTCGCTCCCAGGGGGATGGGTTGCGCCAGCCGGGGCCTGTAGTAGCAGCGCTGCCCAGGACGGCCACGGCGAGGGCGAGGACGGGGTAATGGCTCGTCGTGGGCCCGCCGTCAGCGCCCACCGCCTGCTGCTGCCTGTCCCGACCAGCAGATCCAGCGCCCAGCACCAGCGCCTTGCCCGGCCAACAACGGCGCCCAACCTGGCCAACAGCGGCCCCTGGGCAGCGCCACCGTCGTCGTCCAGGGCGTCCGTCAAGCGGCTGCCGCGCTGCCGGCGTCGCCACTGCCCGCTGCAGCTGCGGGTCGCCACGCGTTGGGCGTGCAGCAGGAGAAGTGCGAGCGCAACGAGCAAATTTCACTGTGACCAGCACGACAAGAAACCTCAGCACCACTCGCAACAGCACCAGCACCACCAGCAGTGCCTCTGTCAGTAGCCCGAGATAGGCTAGCAACACCACCAGTTCGACCAGCCCGACAGGAAGCAGCAGCACCACCAACAGCAGCGCGAGCGCCACCAGCAGCACTGCAATAATGCAACCAACCCTAGCGCCGCTGGTAGCACCTCTGTGACCAGAACGACAGCAAGCAGCACCACCACGCACAGCAACACCAGCGCCATAATATCTAGCGTTGTGACGGACACGACGGGAAACAGCAGCGCCACGCGCAGCACCACTAGCGCCACCAGCACCACCAGCGCGATCAACACGACAGGAAACAGCAGAACCACGCGCCCCAGCACGAGCGCAACCAGCAACAACAGAGTGACCAGCTCAGCGGTAACCAGCAGCAAAAGCGTAACTAGCAGTACCGCTGTGACCAGCACGACGGGAACCAGCTGTACCAAGCGCAGCAGCACGAACGCCAACAGCAGCGCCAGTGTGACCAGCAGGACGGGAAGCAGCAGCACAACGCGCAGCACTACAATCGCCACCAGCAGCACCAGTGACCAGCACGGCGGGAAACAGCAACACTACGTTCACCAACCCAAGAGCAACGAGCAGAACCAATGTGACGAGCATCACCCGGGACAGCAGCCTTCTGCGAAGCAGCAGCACCAGTGTGACCAGCACGAAAGGAAGACGCAGCACAACAAGTAGCACTACGGGCGCCATCGGCGGCACCACTGCGACCAGCCAGACGGCAAACAACAGTACTACGCGAACCAGCAAAAGTGCAGCGAGGAGTACCACTGTGAGGAGCATCGCTGGAAGCAGCACTACTGTGACCAGCACGACGGAAATCAGCAGCACCGTGCGCAACACTACTAGAGGCACCAGCAGCATCAATGTGACCAGCAAAACGACAACCAGTAGCACAACGCGAAACAATCCAAGCGGCACCTCGACACCAAACTGGCCTCGGACGGGGCCGCGATCCGGAAGCTTGCGCAGCCCACAAGCTTGCGAGGCTGCGTCTTCCCCTGCGACGCACATGGCGTTCGCAGTGTTCGCAATCAAGATGCGGCAGGCGCCCCAGCAATGGTACAGCCTATAATCAAGGCGAGAAGGGCATCCCAATTCGCAACCAAGGGCGCGGCCGGCACCGACGCGGCAGCACAACATTCGCAATCCTATTGTTGGCCGGCGCCAGGCGAGAGCAGCTTTCCGAGTCGAGAGCACAGCCCGCGCTGAGGCGAGAACAACAATCGCAATCAGGCGCGCGGCCGGCTCCCACGACCTGGGCAAAAGCAGCATGCCGTGTCGAGAGTGCGGTCCCCGTTGAGGCGAGAACAAGTATCGCAATCATGCGTGCGGCCGGCGCCTAGGCGAAAGCAGCAGTTTCAATCAGATGTGGCCAATGCCGCAGCGAGAACGACATGCTCAGTGAAAGATGTGGCCGGCGCCTGGGTGACATCCACATTGTTCATCAGACATGTGACCGTCGCCACAGCAAGACCGACATGCTCAACGAAAGATGTGGCTGGCGATAGGAGCATTTTCCATCAGACATGTGAGGGGCGCCACAGCGAGAACGACATGCTTAATAAAGAATGTCGTCGGCGCCGAGGCAACAATAACATTTTCAATCAGACATGTGGCCTGTGCCAAAGCGAGAAAGACATGCTGAAGGAAGGATCCCGCTGGTGCTTGGGCTTTTCAATCTCAGATCTGGCCAGCGCCAAGGCGAGAACGACATGCTGAATGAAGGATGTCGCCAGCGCCTGGGCGACAGCTGCATTTTCAACCAGACATTTGGCTGGAGCCAAGGCGAGAACGACATTCTCAATGAAGGACGTCGCTGGCGCCTAATCGGCAGCCACATCTTCAGTCAGAGATGTGGCCCACGCACAGGCGAGAACAACATGCTCAATGTAGGAAGTCGCCAGCGCCGAGGCGGCAGCAACATTTTCAATCAAAGATATGTCGCCAGTGCTTGCGCGACAGCAACACTTTCAATCAGACATGTGGCCCGCACACAGGCGAGAACGACATGCTCAATGAAGGCAGTCGCCGCCACCTAGGCGAGAGCAACATCAGAGATGGGGCCCACGCACAGACGAGAACATCACGTTCAACGAAGGATGTCGCCGGCGCCTAGGCGAGAGCAACATTTTCAATTAGAGATTTGGCTGGCGCCAAAGCGAGAAAGACATTCTCAATGAAGGGCGTCGCTGGCGCCTAGGCGACAGCAACATTTTGGATCAGAGATGCGGCCCACCCACAAGCGAGAACAACACGCTCAATGAAGGATGTCGCGGGCGCCTAGGCGACAGCAACATTTGCACTCAGAGACGTGGCCCACGCACAGGCGAGGACAACACGCTCAATGAAGCATGTCGCTGGCGCCTAGGCGACAGCAACATTTTCAATCAGAGACGTGGCCCACGCACAAGCGAGAACAGCACGCTCAATGAAGGATGTCGCCGGCGCCTAGGCGACAGCAACATTTTCAATCACAAATGTGGCCCACGCACAAGGGAGAACAACACTCTCAATGAAGGATGTCGCCGGCGCCTAGGCGAGAGCAACAATTTCAACCCGAGATGTGGCCCACGCACAAGCTGGAGCATCATTCCAGGACAAGGGTGTCGCCAGAATGCAAGTGGCACACCCATTCCGCGCGGGCTGGGCTCGGTGTCACTGAGGTCCAAGCTACATCAGGTGGGTAGTCTACGGTAGGGGGGGTGGGGTTGTATCCACATTCTCCCCCTGCCTCGCCCTCCTCCTTCCCCTTCCCATACTCCCTACTCCCTCCCCCATGCTCCTATCCCCTTGCCCCCCCCCCCTTGTCCCCTGCTCGTGCTGCTGGGCCGTTGAAAAGCACGATTGTAAAGCTGATGCCTGCACGTGGGTCCCAAACGAGTCAGTCGTGCAACCAGTGTGGAAATCCCTGCGTGCGGAATCCTTCTGTGTACGGAGCCACGTGCGTGAGACCCTATCTGCGCGGAGCCGTGTTGTGTGTGTGTGGAGCCTCCTTGTACGTCAAGCCCCGCGTCATCCAGTGCGTGTGGCGCCCTGCGCGTGAGCCCAACGTGCGCAGCCAAGCCACAGGGGCCCAGGCCACCGGGAAGACGAGCCGCAGGTGACCAGGCATCCACGGCCCGGCCCCCTGCAGCCAGAGCCGGCGAGGCGGGAGGCCGCGGTGACGCTGCACTGGGCGGGGGGGCCGCAGGCGAGAGCAGCCGCTGGGGCCTTCGGTGGAGCTCCCCATGGGGCCACGAAGCTCTGAACTGGGCGTGCCGAGACACAAACGTGCGGATGGCAGAGGCAGGGATGTGCGGAGGGAGGAGCGGGAGGAGGAGGCTGGAGGGAGGGACGCGGGGCGCTATCCGCTCAAAACGAGGACCCAACACAACCGGGTGGTTGGGAAAAACCTATCCCTGTCGCACCCTGAAAGCGTCAGTAGGGCGGGCCCAGCGTTTCGTCCGAGACTTCCTCACAGTTTCTGACCAAGAAGCTGGAATTTCCTTCCAAAGCCTCACGGATGTATGGCGGGTCCCTCTCAAAGTGTGTCCTCGCCCTACTGGCCATCGCTCGGGCGTCCGCTCCCCGTGCTTTTCTGGCGTCGTGCGTGCTTGTCTTGCCAGATGGTCGAGGATGATCCTCGAAGGCCCTCGCCGGGGAACAGTGCACACGTCCGAGCGAGCGATACCAAGCTTAGCGCCGCGCATACTCGTCGTAAAAGTTTGCAAGGTCTTCACGAATTGCCTGGCGGCTCCTCCTCCAAAGGCGGCCCCCGCCTTCGCGCCGCGCACACTCGTCGTGAAACTCTGCGAGAGCTTCACGGGTGGAGGGCGTGGGTGATTCAGGATGTGGCTTTCGCCTGAGCGCGCCGCACACAATCGTCTTGAAAGTTTGCGAGGGCTTCACGGAATGAGGGCGGGCCGTTTTCAAAATGCGGCTCTCGCCTGAGCGCCGCGCTCCTTCGTCTTGAAGCTTGCGGAAGCTTCACGAGTGGAGGGAGAGTCCCTGTTCGAAATGTGTTTTTCTGCACATTCGTGTTAAAAGTTTGCAAGGTGTTCTCGGGTGGACGACAAGACGTTTTCACCATGTGGTTCTCTGACTAGCGCCACGCACACTCGTCTTAGACATCTGCTAAGTCGTTCATGGATGGCGGGCGGGTTTTTTTTTCAAAATTTGGCTCTTGCCCGAACGCTGCGTATATTCGTCGGACAAATACAACCATGTATCGGGTTCTTATGGTTCACGTGCCAGGAACGATTGTCGGGGCGCAGCAGTCCCGTTGATTCGCGGTGTTGAAGTCGCAGGAATGGTGTTCTGGCCCGATGCAGAATCGCCAGGACGAAACAATAAGATTGACTCACGGCGTTGAGGTCCAAAGAGTGGTGCTTCAGCAGGATTATCAGGACGCTTGCCTTCCAACGAGGCACTTCCAGCAGCGAAACAAACATGCTTGTCGGGACCCGTGAAGAGGGAATTTGAAGGGAGGCTTCATTGCAACATCGTTGATGCGCCTTGGGTTTACATAGGGGAACAAAAACTGGCATAAACATCAAAACTCGGAAGTCCGCGCGGATTTCTCGGATCGGCGCTGGGGCCCCCCGGCGGCGCCTCCGGCGCCGCCCCTGGCGCGCTCCGCGCGCCAGGGAGGGGGTCCAGCGCGGATCCGAGAAATCCGCGCGGACCTCCGAGTTTTTATGTTTATGCCACTTTTTGTTCCCCTGTGACACTGGTCCTGCTCCTCATCATCATCCTCGTCCTCTCCTTCGTCGTCGCTGTCGCCGCCGCCGCCGCCGCCGTCGCAGCCGTCGTCGCTGCCGCCGCCGCCCGACCCTGCCATCCAGGGCGCCACGCGGCGGCGGGAAGCCCAGGACGGCGCCCGACAGCTGCCCGGGGGCGCGGGCCTCCGCGGGGGCCCAGGTCCTCGACGTCGCAGGCGTTGGTCGGCGTCGCCAGCGTCGTCGGCGTCGTCGGCGTCGCCATCGTCGTGGTCGTCGTCGTCTTCGTCGGCGTCGTCGTCGAAGGGGCGGGAGACCTGAACCTCCGACGGAGCGTTCTGGTGCAATCCCCGCGGCTTCGGCCCGATTCCGGCATCCTGGGGGCATGTTCAGGCACCGTGGCCATCAAAAACAGTTCCGGGGCGAACGCGTCTGGGGAGCCCATGGACTGGAAAAACATGGGGGGGGGGAGCGATGAGGGTGAAGATTCGATGTTCGAAGGCCGAGGCTTGGAGGGCGACCTTTGCCCTTCTTGGGTGCCTCCCGGGGCGCCCTCGACGCCACGGCTGCATCCGCCTCGCAGTTCTGGCCAGAGAGCGCCCTGGACGCGTCCAGGGAGGCATGTCTGTTGAGAAGAGGAAGGGCGGCAAACCAGAGTTAATCCAGGATGCATGAAGGATCTGAGGCCCCTGAATTTGGCGAACCGCCTCTCGCGCGGCCACTTGAAAAAGGCCAGCTCACTAGCCCCGGCCGCGACGCGCGGAGCGCGGCGACCTTCGCGCCCCACAGGGTGACCTGGACGATGCCGCAGCCCAAGAACTCTTCCTCTTACTCCTTCTCTCCTCCTCCTCCTCCTCCTCCTCCTCCTCCTCCTCCTCCTCCTCCTCCTCCTCCTCCTGCTTCTCCTCCTCCTCGTCCACCTCCTTCTCCTTCTCCTCCTCCTACTCCTCCTCCTCCTCTTCTTCTTATGGTTATTATTATTCGTATTATTCTTATTTTTATGATTATGATTATTCTTCTTATTCGTAGTATTATTCTTCTTCATATTCTTATGAGTATTAGTAGTATTCTTATTATAAATATTATTCGTATTAGTATTGCTCTTCTTCTTCTTACTAGTATTATTATTAGTACGATTCGTCTTATCAATAGCATTCTGAATATTATTCTTCGTATGATTCATACTATTATTATTATCATGCTTCTTCTTAGTAGTTTTATTCTTCTTAGTCTTCTTCATATTATTAGTATTATTAATATTAGTATTACTAATATTATTATTAGTATTAATATTATTAATATTATTGTTCGTATTAGTATTAGTCTTCTTATTTGTCTTATTATTCTTAGTATTAGTATTACTATTCTTACTATTAGTGTTATTATCCGTCTTATTATTATTATTCGTATTAGTCTTCTTCTTCGTAGTATTAGTCTTATTCGTCGTGTTATCATTCGTATTAATACTATTCTTATTATCCTCCTCCTCCTCCTCCTCCTCCTCCTCCTCCTCCTCCGCCTCCTCCTCCTCCTCCTCGTCCTCCTCCTCGTCCTCCTCCTCCTCCTCCTTCTCCTCCTCCTCCTCCTCCTCCACCTCGCTCCTCCTCCTCCTCCTCCTCCTCCTCCTCCTCCTCCTCCTCCTCCTCCTCCCCCTCCTCCTAACGACCCTAACGACGACTGCCTGGCAACCGATGGGCCGCGCTAGTTTACAAGCCAGCACGGAAATCACACATCCGCGAAGTTATCAAGCGCACCCGCAATTCACCGCGCATGGATGCGATGCGGAGCACAAAACAAAATTGAATGCCACACAGCTGAGTGCCGCGGTCGCGGAATGCACCCGTGTCTGTTCAGAATGTGCCAGAGATCCTTCACGCGACGTCGGATGGTTCACATGGCCCTGGTTCCCCCAGTACCTCAGGGGCACTTGAAAGCCAGCGCGCCGCCTGCCGCTGATGGAGGGCACTCAATTATTTCACTCCGTCCCAGATGCCGAGCAGCGCCCTGCAGGTCACAGGCTGTCAAGATTCAGCCCCCACTCCATAGTACAGTTGACTGCACAAGTGACGCAGCCGCCGTTGACGCCCGCCGCGTTGTCCAAACGGCCCAACTAACTCCAGGGTCGCCCCGTCATGCGGCTGCTGGGTCTGCCTCGTCATCGCCAGCCAGGGGGCGGCCCTGGCGCGACCACGGCCTGGGCCCAATATCAACGCGCATCGGATAGCGCGGGCGTGGAGGGCAAGCTTCAACACGCCGTGAATTCTCCATCGCTGCCGCCAATCCGTCGCTTGCAAGCTAGTAGTCGATGGGCGCAATTGCCCGCGCGCGTCACTCGGCGCAACCTGCGGGACCCCACCAAAAGACGTCCGCTCACTTTCTCAACGCAGGTGGCGACGATAAGAGTCTTCGGCGCGACATCCCAATCCCCTCCAAACATGAACGGCGCCTTCCAATGTCGACACAGTTGCCCGAGGCGCCCGACACGACCGGCGTTGGGCTGTACCTAGCAAACGCCATCTCGTAAACACATCGAGCCCGCAATGAATCCGCCTCGCGGGCCTGCGTGAATGAAAACAGTCACGCGCCGTGACGGCATCAAAACGCGGTCGCTCACACCCTCGAAGAAGTCCAAAACTGCGGTGACGATGGAGCGCTTGACAATCAGCGCCGCGCCCCTGCCGTGAGTTTGCCACTCGGCGCTCTGATGCAGCTCGTGATGAAAGGGCTTCAACCCATGTGAGATGCTCCACTCTTCTGAAGTTCGTCATCACCCCATCGAGTGAACCTCCTGCGCTGCACCCATGGAGGCACCGTGGGCGCCCTCATCCAGGAAATCCCGCCTACGAGGCCATGACGAACCGTTGAAAGCCCACCACCTGGCATGAGGTGCGCTTGAGTCGCCTGGGGGCTCGTCTAAACAACTGACCCGCTGGGCGGTTGGAACTGTAGCCACGGCCTAAACCAACCTCCATAGTGCAGGGTCCTCCCACGGCACTCCTCCTGGGTGGCCTCCTCGTGGCGAATGCGGAGCTGGTGGTGCTTGCGGAGGCTGTGGTAATACAGCTGGTTTGTGTGCTGGTACATGCGCAAATTATGATGGAGCTGCTGGGGCTGGCGGAGCTGGCGCAGCTGCAGGTCCTGCAGTTGCGGTAGTAGGATGGCCAGCAGCCCCAGTATTGAAAGCTTGCTACAGTGCCTTGAACTGCCCAGCCATCGATGATACCAGGGTAGCAGCAACTCCTGTGGCCAGAGCGTTGGGCGCGGACGTGACAACTTTCCAGTCGTCCCATGACTGTCGCAATCTCTTCGCGGTGCTCACCAACTGCTGCAGATAAGGCTGCAACTCTGGCCAAACGACCTTCACCGTTGATTTGTGTCTGCTCGAGCTTGGCGGCCTCAAATAGCTTTGCTGTGTCGGCCAGCTGGCTCTGCAGGCCCGCCAGTTCCTACACCTTCTTGTTTAGGCGGCCTGCTGGTCTAGCGAACACCGTAGGACATCGTCAGGAGATCGCAGGCTCTGCTCCTTGGCGTCGGCGTCCTGAAGTCCTGCTCCGCTTCCATCACCTCTGCAGATGCCTTATCCAATCCAAGCTCCGATAATGTTCCCAGCGCACGCCTTGCTCTGGTAGGCTCGTCGGCTGGATTCCCTGCTTGTTCAGGGGGTGGCGCCTGACCTGAAAGAGCTGTTCCACGGCTGTCGGCACCAATGCTGCAGACGGGGGGCGAGCGTGGGATCGGGATTCCCAGAATGATCTCGACCGCATTGAAAGCAATTGAAGCCACACTGGCGGGAGGCGACGCATGCCTACCGAGGCTCCTTTTGGATGGCCTTGGACTTGGGCGGGCCTCGTGACGATGCTCGTTCATGCGCGTCGCCTCCCATCAATGAGGCCCCGTGCTGCCGAAAGAGAAGATCCTGTGCTGCCGTCCGCTGTAGTAGCTCATGTGCCTGATTCCCGGCGTCGCCATAGACGTCGATGCCAGGCAGAAGATCGCGATTACGCCTGCAGGAAGATGGCGGCCAGGCCCGAAGCTGCGGGCACCAGCCTGGGGCGCGGCATGTGTCGGGCACCTAAAAAGGAGGGCGCCTCGAGCCCGCACGCCTGAGGAAGAAAAAAGGAAGGAGGGGGGGGAGGAGGAAAAGGGGAGGAGGGAGGGAGGAAGAACAGGAGGTAGCCGATGGCGGTGGACGAGGGCATGTCGGTCAACGCGTGCTCTCAGGAAGAGGAAGCAGCTGGGGTCGGGGAACAAACAATGACATAAATATTAAAAATTCGGAGGTCTGCGCAAATTCCTCCAGTCCGCGCTGAGACCCCCTCCCTGGCGCACGGAGCGCGCCAGGGGCGGCGCCGGAGGCGCCGCCAGGGGGGTCCAGCGCGGACCCGAGGACTTTGCAGGGACCTCAGAGTTGTTAAGCTTCTGGCATTGTTTGTTCCCCGATGGGGGCCCCAAAACCGCATGGCGACACACCGTGCGACGACGTCGACACCCCCAGGGCCGCACCGCACGATCCGCCGCCGCACGGCTCAGGGGCCCCATGGGGCCCTCGGCGCCCGTGCCCTCCTCGGGGCAGCGGCACAGAATCTTAGGACGGCCCGCGGACCCGGGATCGCACCTGGCTCTCGCGGCGTGGCCACCGCCCCGCCTGTGATGGGCCTGCGTTCCACCACCACCACCACCACCACCACCACCAGAAGTTGGAAGGGGGAGGGGGTCCTCCTCCCCCTCTTGTTCTTCCTCCTCCTCCTCCTCCTCATCCTCCACCTCCTTCCCCCATCCAATGTATGGTGGTGGTGGTGGTGGTGGTGGAAAGCAGGCCCATCAGCCTGGGCACTCCCGAAGGATACCAGCGCGGATGCCGAATCCAAGCTCCCAGGAAGTGCACCCTGAAACGCTCCCCACGGAAGGGCGCCAACTGTGTACCTGCACCGATCCCGGCTATGCCCGTCCTGGGAGTCCTGGCCCCTGGATCGGTGCATGCGACCTTCTGCCTCGAGCAAAGGCACATACAGCGATCCTGGCCCCAGGGCGGGCATGGCCAGCACAAGTGTACGTTTGTGTTGCTCCCGTCGCCCTTACGGACCACATCCCAGAAATAATTTCGAGCACCCAGAAAAATGTCGAAATAGTGTCGAGCGAGTATCGCCTCCCAGGGCCCGGCGCGTGAAAACCTTCCAGTTTCGGTGCTTGGTGCTCGAAAGTATTTCTGGCGGTCACGGCTAAAGTAGCTTGGAACATCATGAGTGTACGTGAAAATATCGGCACTTCAGAAATGGGATCCTGAGATATGCTGAGGGGAGGAGGCCCTGGACAATGCAAACTCGACCTGGAAGCCTTTTCCTGGACTTGGGGCCCCGTCCATCAGGGCCCCATCTTCGCCCCCGAGTAAAGCTGGCGCCCTCCGATCGTGAAGGAGGGACGCGAGGCGGGGATATGTCCAGATCCAGCGTCTGTGGAACCGACGTCCTGGTACCCCAGCGGGCGGTGCATATGGATACACTTGCCCCCCCCAGGCCCCCAGGGCCTGAGTACTTTCACATCCACAGCCTGCCGACGTCCCAGAAGTTCGACCCCCCAGGCGGTGGTTATGGATAAATCCCCACCTCGGAAGGGCGGAGGTGTGGAAGAGCAAGGAACGGCAGGAAAGGGAAGAAGGAAACGAAAGGAGGAGGACACAGAGGGGGAGGGGAAGCAGAGGGCGGGTGATCTGCGAACCGCCGAGTATGCTTGGCGCCCTCTGGTCCTGAAGGAGGGACTCCTCCTCCTCCTCCTCCTCCTCCTCCTCCTCCTCCTCCTCCTCATCATCCTCCATCCTCCTCCTCCTCCATCCTCCTCCTCCTCCTCCTCCTCCTCCTCCTCCTCGACGTCTTCTTCTTCTTCATGTTCTTCCTCCCTCCTCCTCCTCCTCCTCCTCCTCCTCCTCCTCCTCCTCCTCCTCCTCCTACTTCTCCTCCTCCTTTTCCTCCACGTCTTCCTCCTCCTCCTCCTCCTCCTCCTCCTCCACGTTTTCCCCCTCCCCTCCTCCTCTTCCGCCTCCTCCTTCCCCCCCCCCCAGGTGGATGGGGAGACGGGGGACGAAGGGGCAAGGGGCGCCCCGGCCTCCACCATGGCGGCGGCTACGGCAGCGGGCCGAGGCGCCAGGGCGGCCGGCGCGACCGCCCGCGACTTCTTCGACGTCAGGAAAGCCTGCGGGGCAAGGCTATGTCGACGTCCGTCGTCACCGTCCTCGTCTGCGTCGTCGTCGTCGTCCACCTCGTCGTCGGTTGCGTCGTTTTCAGGCGCAACGTCGCGAAGCCACCCTCGGCACGAGCACGATGGCCGTTGACAGTGGATTCGTGAAGCGCAGGAGCGATGTTCGTATGGCAGGCGCCGGGGCGGCTGGCGCGGCCGCCCGCGATTCCTCCGACGTCAGACAAGCCTGCGGGGCGAGACCGGGCGTCTTACGATCCGGGGCGAAGACATGGTCCCCTCCCGTTCTACTCGCTCTTGCCTCCCCCCTCTGCTCGCCCCCCTTTCTTCCGCAGCATGAGGAGGGGAGGGGCGAGGAGGAAGAGAGGAAATCCGCCGATCCAGCGTGTGAACTACAAGGAACCTCAGCAAGAGCTTCAGCTCTGAGCGTAAGCAAGAGCTTGCTCCGCTTGGTTGGGGGGTCGCCACGGTGGCTCTGCCAGGGAAGGGGGGGAGGAGGGGGGTCCTCCATCTGGCGTTTTCTTCATGGTTTGCGCGTCTGGACCCACCCCTGGGAAGGGGGGGAAGGGAAGGGGGCGAGGCGGTCCCCCATCTGGCGTTTTCTAAATGATGTGCGCATCCCCAAAATGTTTCGGGGGGTGCCAAGGACCCCACTCAGATCTAGCCGCTACCGCCCCCAAGACCCTCCCCTCGGAACCCACCCAGGACCCACCCCGGGACCGCTCCAGGCACACCCCCCAGAGGAGAAGAAAAAGGACCGCAAGAATCGAGGAGGGAGGAGGCCACAGAGCCACGAAGATCACCGAATCCGGAGCCCCCCGGATCGGCGGCACTGGCCGGAGGCCATTATAACATTTCTTTGGACGCCCGAAGAGGACAAGGAAAAAATGGATACGATGCCCAACAACAAATGTTGTCCAAAACCGACAGCGGCCCCTGTTGGGCAGGCGGCCTCTATCTCGAATGGACAACATCCTCGGCGATACCGACAGCGAGTCCTGCTCAAAATGAGCAGAAACTGCTGTCGTCTTAGTGCCCATTATTTCCGTATCCGCTTCGATCGTACCAAATGTCGAATCCACCGCCGCGAGGGAGCCTGACAGGACCTGCTCGCTGGCTCGCGCTCGTGCCGGAGGCTGTGGCAGCCCACGGGCGTACATACGGGCAGAGAAGTGTTGCAGACATACATGGCGCACTCTTTGGTACCACGTGGAGGCGTCACTCACTGCGATGCCCGTTAACAGTAGATCCACTCAGCGCGATAGCAATGCTCATATGGCAGGTGCATCACGTCAGAAGTGTCTCTCATCATCAAGAGCCACATGAACATCATACTCACAGCCATCGTCATAATCATCGTAAGCTTCTCTACCCAACCGCAGCAGCAGCATCAGCAACGTCATCACCTACATCATCATTGACACCCCTCAGCATCATCAGCATCATCAGCATCATCAGCATCATCAGCATCATCAGCATCAGCATCATCATCATCATCATCATCATCATCATCATCATCATCATCATCATCATCATTAACATCATCATCATCATCATCATCATCATCATCATCATCATCATCATCATCATCATCATCATCATTAACATCATCATCATCATCATCATCATCATCATCATCATCATCATCATCATCATCATCATCATCATCATCATCATCATCGTCATCGTCATTGTCATCATCACCACCATCATCATCAGACTCACCATCAACGTCATGAGCATCGTCTTCATCATTAACACCGTCATCAGCATGAGAATAATACGAATACTAATCATAAAAAGTAGAATCATTATCATCATCAGCAGCAGCATTATCATCAGCATCATCATCCGCATAATCAACATCATCAACAGCAGCATCAGCAGCAGCAACATCATCAGCAGCAGCATCATAATCATCATCATCAGCATCAGCATCAGCATCATCATTACCAGCATCATCATCATCATCATCATCATCATCGTCATCATAATATTCATAATCATAGTGGTAATTTCCATCATCATCATTTTCATCATGATCATCATCATCATCATCATCGTCATCATCGGCAGCAGCATTATCATCATCATCATCATCATCATCATCATCATCATCATCATCATCATCATCACCATCATCATCATCATCATCATCATCATCGTCGTCATAAGAATCAGCATCGTCGTCGTAGTTGTCCCCGTCGTCGTCGTCATCGTCATCATCACAGTCGCATCACCACCATCACCATCATCAGCATCAGACCCTCATCAACAGACTCATCATTATCATCGTCATCATCATCAGCATCACCATCATCAGTATCATCATCATCATCAGCATCAACATCATCATCATCATCATCATCATCATCATCATCATCATCCACATGATCATCATCATCAGCAGCATCTTTATCATCGTCAGCATCATCGACACTATCACAATCATCGTCGTCATCATCATCAGACTCATCATCATCATCACCACCACCAGCATCATCAGCATCAGCATCATCATCGTCGTCGTCGACGTCGGCGTCGGTGTCGTCACCATCATCGTCATCGTCATCGTCATCGTCATCGTCATCGTCGTCGTCGGCATCGTCGTCGTCAGCAGGAGGATTAACTGCAACATGATCTTCGTCATCACAAGTGCTGCCGCTCTCTAGGAGACCAGGGCGGGCCGCCAGATCTCAATCGGTGAATGTGGCCCACTGCGACGACGTGGACGACGTCGACTGCGACAGCGAAGACGAGGGGCTCGGGGCGGGCCTGTGCCGAGCGTATTTCCGCCAAGCTGTGCGCGTGTCGGCACGAGTTTCCCAGCTTGCAGCGGCCCTGGAAGAACATTGAACAAGGCGCTGACTTCAGGTACCTTCCGGTGGGGCGGGAGACGCGCTGGAAAGCCCACAGAAGGATTGGGAGGAGAGGGAGGAGGCGCAGGGGGAGGAAGGGGAGGAGGGGGGGAAGAGGGAGGAGAGGACGAGGAGGGGAGGAGAGGGGAGGGGGAGAGGGAGGGGGAGGAAGGGGAGGAGGGGAAGAGGGGAAGGGGAGAGAAAAAGAGGAGGGGGGGGAAGGGTAGGAGGTGGAGGAGGGGGATGACAAGGAAACGAAGAAGAAGAAGAGGCGGAGGAGCGGGCGGCGGGAGGCGGGGGAGGAGCAGGGGGAGCGGGAGGGGTTTCGCCGCCCCATCCGCCTAGTCCCTCACCTCCCCCTCTTCCTTATCAGGGTGATCCTCCTTCTCCTTCCCCTCCTCCTCCTCCTCCTCCTCCTCCTCCTCCTCCTCCTCCTCATCCTCATCATCATCATCATCATCATCATCATCATCATCATCAGCATCACCATCACCATCATCATCATCATCATCATCATCATCATCATCATCAGCATCATCATCATCATCAGCATCTTCATCATCATCATCATCATCATCATCATCATCATCATCATCATCATCAGCATCATCATCATCATCATCATCATCATCATCATCATCATCATCATCATCATCATCATCCCTCCTCCTCCTCTTCCTCCTCCACTTCTCCCTCCTCCTCCGTGTATGCATATACCTATACGACCACCCTTCGGGTGATAAGGAGGTTCGGGGGGGGGAGGAACCAACGTCTCACTCGATCGGTCTCACTATCGATCTCACTATCGATCTCAGTATCGGTCTCGCTCGATCGATCTCCCTCGATCGATCTCACAATCGATCTCACAATCGATCTCACTCGATCTCACTCGATCTATCTCACACTCGATCTCACTCGATCATCATCATCATCATCATCATCATCATCATCATCATCATCATCATCATCATCGTCCTCATCATCATCAGCATCATCATCATCATCATCAGCATCACCATCATCATCATCATCATCAGCATCATCAGCATCAGCATCATCAGCAGCATCATCATCATCATCATCATCATCATCATCATCATCATCATCATCATCATCATCATCATCATCATCATCATCATCATCATCATCATCATCATCATCATCATCATCATCATCATCATCATCATCATCATCATCATCATCATCATCATCATCATCATCATCATCATCATCATCATCATCATCATCATCATCATCATCATCATCATCATCATCATCATCATCATCATCATCATCATCGCGGGACACCGCGGGACACCGGCGGGACACCGCGGGGCACCGCGGGACACCGCGGGACACCGCGGGACACCGGCGGGACACCGCGGGCCACCGGCCGCCCGGAAGGGAGACATTTGGTCCGGCCGCGCCTCAGCCACACGGGACACCAGCGGGACACCGGCGGGACACCGCGGGCCACCGGCCGCCCGGAAGGGAGACATTTGGTCCGGCCGCGCCTCAGCCACAGGAGACTTTCTTCTCGCCCGCCCACGCAGCTTCGCCTCGCCCGCACGCACGGCACGCACGAACACGAAACCGAAATCGATTTCCCGGTAGGGGGGCTCTCCGTTCCACTTCGATCTCACCCCCTCACCTCCGATTTATGCATAGATTACGGATGTGTATACATACACGACATTAGGTAAGTACGGTTCTGTATGGTTTATTATGTATGGCTGCATGCATGAATATATATATATATATGTGTATATACGTGTGTATGTATACAGATATATATATATATATATATATATATATGTTGTGTTGTCTGCATGTCTGTATGTCTGTATGTATGTATGTATGTATGTATGTATGTATGTATGTATGTATGTGTACGGATGGATTGATGTACGCATGCATGCATGCATGCATGCATGCATGTGTGCATGTACATATGTATATATGTACGTACGTATGTACGTACGTAACGTTTGTATGTATGTGTGTATGTGTGTATGTATGTGTGTATGTATGTATGTATGTATGTATGTATGTACGTACGTACGTACGTATGTATGTGTGTATGTATGTATGTATGTATGTATGTATGTATGTATGTATGTATGTCAATATGTCAATATGTGAATATGGTTGTACGTACGTACGTATGTACGTATGTATGTATGTGTGTATGTATGCATGTATGCGTGTGTGTGTGTGTTTGTATTGTTGGTTGGTGTTGTATTATGTATGTATATAAATGTGTATATGTGTATACATTTATTCATTTATATATATATATATATACATACATACATATATATATATATATATATATGTGTGTATGTGTGCAAGTGTGTGTGTTGGCCTCCGGACCATCCCGCCACGGTGCCTGGGCTGTGTGTTAGAGGCCTCTTGGGTGTTCGTTGGTACCTCATGGGAAGCTTCTCGGAAACCTCGTCGAGGGCGGCCGTGAAGCCTTTGGGGGGCCGTTTTGGGGCTTCTTGGGGGCCTCTTTCGGGCCTCTTGGGGGCCTCTTGGGGCCTCTTGGGGAGCGTCCTGGGAACCTCCAGGCGCCTCGTCCGGGCCTCTTTGGGCCTCCTGGGGGCCTGGGGGGGGCGGAAGGCTGGAGTTGTGGGTTCGTGTTCCCCCTCTTGGGGCCCTCTTGGGCCGCTCTGGGGCCCCTCTTGGGCCGTCTCGGAGTGCCTCTCTTGGGCAGTCCTGGGGCCCTCTCGAATCATCTTGGGGCTCCCGAGAGGTCTCTGACGCCGTCTTGGGGCTTTCTTGGGCCCCTCTTGGGCCGTTTCGGGGCGGTCTTGGGCGCCTCTTGAGCTGCCTAGGAGCGTTGGTCCGTTTTGAAAGCTTCTTGGGCCGTCTGAAACCCCTGGAGGCCGTCTTCGGGGTGGCTCGGGGCCGTCTTGGGCCACAGGGACGGCTGTCTGATCACTCTGGGGGCCCATTTGCGGCCCCCCCCAAAGAGCGGGCCCGGTCCTGCAGAGCCCCGAGGAGGTCGCCCCCCCCCCTGGGACTAGAAAGTGGACCGGGGGGGAGTTTTGAAAAAGTGTGCCGCCCCCGATGCCGGGGGCCCGGGTTCCCGTTATATGATACACTCTAATATACGGATACGGCCTGCGGCACAGGGAACTGTGTGCAGCTCCGCCATGCCGAGTACACCACAACCTACGCTGGCTTGTGGGAAGAAAAAACGAAACGCTGCCTGGACATGTCGTGATTCAGCGTGGACCCCAAAACAGAAAGTCATTGCACCCTGGATGTGCAAGCTATGTGGTGCAAGCTTTCTGGTGAAGTAGCTCATGGCGCAGTGCCCCCCTTCACACACACACACACACACACACACACACACACACACACACACACACGCGCGCGCGCACGCGCGCACACACGCACACACGCACTCACGCACGCACGCACGCACGCACGCACGCACGCACGCACACACACACACACACACACACACACACCACGCCCCAGACGCCTGAATACCTTTGTCCCACATACGACCAATCGCTTTCGAAACAGCATGCCGGGTAAGGAAGCGTCGATGCGAAGGCAGCGCCAAAGCTGCTTGCGTTGGCGACGCCTCAGGGGGGAAACGTTCTCGAAGGATGGTTCGAAATCAGCTGCGCTAGATGAGCCTCATTCAATGGTGCCGTGATGAACCGATGTGATCGAGCATGCAGGGAAACGAAGATCATCGCGTCCACAGGCAAGTCAACGCGTGCGCGAACGGCTGGGAGCAGCACAAGATGATATTTACAAGAAGATACCGAAACTTGTTCCTACAATTGTAACCAAAGAAGCAATGCTCCTGGTCGGGTTGGTGGCCAAACATGGGCGCGACCCGTGACGTGCGAGCAAGTTTGACTCGCATGTACGGCCCGTGGCACAGGGAACTGTGTGCAGCTACGCCATGCCGATCACACCACAACCCACGCTGGCGCGTGGGAAGCAAAACCAAGCGAAACGCTGCTTGGGCATGCCGAGATTCAACATGTTGCCAAAAAATCGTTGGTCGCCAGCTTGGACCCCAAACGCTACTTAAGTAATTGCACTGTGGACTGTTCCTTTGGAAACCGAAATAAGAATCCCGATGTGCAAGCACAGATTGAAAACAAATACTTGACAAATTGTCTGTCGTACTCAGTTCTTGGCCGTCTGTCTTGGTGAAATCAGACTGGCGAAGGAGCCGACCATATGCAGTTGTGAATACCACGGTTGTGGCTTTCGGCTTCAATGGGGCTCCCTATGGGCCACGGAACGCTGTACTGGGTGGGGGAGGCGCATGCGAGTGCAGCCACTGAGGCCTTCGGTGGAGCTCTCTTTGGGGCAACGAAACGCTGTACTAAGAGGGGGAGACGCATGCAAACACCGCCACAGGAGCCTTCTGTGGAGGTCCCTATGGGACAGCGAAACGCTGTACTGAATGGGGGAGATGTTGCGAACACCGCCACTGGGGCTGGGGCCTCTGGTGGAACTTCCCATATCAAACCACGAAACGCTGTACTGGGTTGGGGAGACGCATGCGAGTGCAGCCACTGGGGCCTTTCGGTGGAGCTCTCTCAGGGGGCATGAAACGCTGTACTGGGCGGGGGAGACGCATGCGAGTGCAGCCACTGGGGCCTTCGGTGGAGCTCTCTCAGGGGGCATGAAGCGCTGTATTTGGCGGGGGAGACGCGCGCGAGTGCAGCCACTGGGGCCTTCGGTAGAGCTCCCATGGGGCCACGGAACAGAAAGTCATTGCACCCTGGATGTGCAAGCTATGTGGTGCAAGCTTTCTGGTGAAGTAGCTCATGGCGCAGTGCCCCCCTTCACACACACACACACACACACACACACACACACACACACACACACACACACACACACGCGCGCGCGCACGCGCGCACACACACACACACACACACACACGCACTCACGCACGCACGCACGCACGCACGCACACACACACACACACACACCACGCCCCAGACGCCTGAATACCTTTGTCCCACATACGACCAAT